AGACCGAAGTCTTGCTTTTGCGGGTATGTTGGAGGGTAAGCATGCAAACACAACATGCATGCACACACATACATGACCAGGGAAAGAGAAATTTCCTGCATGACACATGACAGCCTCGTGCTTAAGACGCTTCGGAAACAGGTTTCCCTGTTAATACCATGGGTTTGTTCAAATCGGAAACACTTAGGTTTTTCCTATATCTCGGTCTTGAATCCAGATTATCAGTTTTATCATGGGCTTGGTCTTCCTCCTTTATCTTGGCTGAAAGTATCATCCTGGAACCAAAAATGTGTCTTGCTATGTTTTGCTGCAATGTTATGTTCCTATGGACGATTCTACCCGCTATCTCACTTCCACCAATTGTGGTTGTCACCTGCTTGTGAAGCACAGGGATGTTGAGGCAGAGACCTCTGAGCACCAATGCTGTTGGAGATGCAGGGAAAACACTTGAATGCATGAAAGATCATGTCTTTACTCTTCATGTTCAAGTTGTGAAATGAGCTATGCATTCATCATTCATTCATTCCTTGCCACAGTGTATGCTTCACCCTGTGAACTAAGGTATTCAGTTTTCAGTGTAGAAGGCTGTGCTAATATCATACCAGCTTCATAAATCTTTAGCCCACTGGGGTGGGGGGAAAGAGGATTGCATTTAGTCACTTCAGCATGTCAGTCCTTTGCTCCTGTCCTTGTCAACTCCTATAGAACTTAGAAATCACAGCCAGTCGAGCTTTTCCTTGAGCAAAAAGTAGCTGGGAACAAGGTTGCCTTGACAAAGCCAAATCCCAGATTATGTTATACTTCTTGTGTTTACTAATACACTTGCTATGGTTTCATTGCTGTATTGAAAATAATCAGGAGGAGACAATTAATAATTTCCTTTTCAGCTGTGCCATAATGAACTACATAAGAATTATTTTGATATCCTGAGTCATTGGTGGCCATGGAGAAAAACACAGTCTTTAAGCCAAGCTTTTAAATACTTTCTTAATTGAAAGAAAAAAAATTAGTATTTTGCTAGCAAGTGACTTGCCCTTCCAGGTTTATAATTTTAACAACAAATCAGTCTTGGAGAACATTATTTAACTTGCTTTTACAACCAGTAGTCTATATGAATAATGTTCAGGGGGGTGTCCATAATTTTATTTCTATTTTGCCCATAATTTTATTTCTATTTCCTAAGAAATGTGAACATTTACGGAAAAGATAATTGCTCTCCTGAAAAGATAATTTCTATCTGTCCCCTTTATATGCCATTTTGTATCAGGCAGTTCGTCATGAACAATTTAAAAAACTTGTGCATAAGCAGTAGAAAACTTCCCTGTCGTGGTTGATGTCATTTCTCACTCATGTGCAATCATAGCTCAGTTCATACCAAGAAGAAAATGCTGAAGTCACTGCTGTAAGGTTTTGTGAAGAAATTTCAGCTTCCTTGTTTATACAAATGTTACACAAATATAAACAATGGTAGTTGATTAATTTTTCCTCTTTCTTCAGATACTCTTTTGTAGTCAAAGCTGAAAGAGCAAATTTCTTTTTCCAGCTTCCCCAGGCAGCTCTAGCAGCTCTGATGACCTTATGGCTCCTCACCAGTCCAGTGAACCTGCTCAGCTGCTGGACCCGTCCCCTCTTTGTAGGCTGCTGAACCTGGAAAGCTGTGGTGAGGCTTTTGTCTCCAGACCTGGCCAGGGAGCTGACTTCCTGCTCTGTCCTGGCCTTTGTAGTAAAACCTTCGAGTGCCCGTACGCAGCAAACACGTGTTTGTCTGGTTGTAAATGAGCCTTTGGGGAGATTTGCTTCTTTTGTGCTGTTTCCTTGCCTGAGCGGGGAATGCAAAACCTGAGGCCAGCTGTGAGTGTGCTTCCTGTTGTTTGTTATTTCATTTTTATGCCCAATTATCTTTTAAGATGAGGCAGAAGGAGTATTTTGTCTAACGTGCTGCTGAGATGGTTCTTACTAAAAAGGCTAGTGCTCTTTACTGAAAACAAGGCTGTGATCAGTTGCCTGCCTTAGGGTTGTGCTGGAAAGAGGAGATTGTCTGAGTCTTCTCTGCTTGTGTGAGAACTGACATAATTGGAGGGGTGTCCTCTAAAATAAAGGAGAACTGGTCATTCAGTGGCCACTATAATTTCAGTTTGCCCTGTGGCAGGGACACTGCAGTTGTGCTGTAACTTGGCTAAACCTGATATGCAGGTAGGATTTAACCCTCGCCACAGACAGACATTTGTTTGTTGTAGGTTGCAATGGAGGAGACCCCTCGTTTCTCCTGTGCCTTGGGAGGCAATGGGTCTGGTTCACAGCCCCAAAAAGGGGATGCTGGCTCCTGGGGGCGGGGGGACAGGCAGGGAGCCTTCACAGAACGGATACTGATGAGAGTTTGGATGCTGAACTTTGATCTGTGTTAGTGCCAACCAAAATTTCTCACATAGTTAAGAAATATCTTTTTTTTTTTTTTTTTCTTGGATTGCTTGTAATAGCAATAAAACCGCTAGCCTAGCTGCAATCCCACTAGCCAAGAACATGCGTTTGCAAGTGTCAGGGTGGACTATTACATGCAGAATGGACAATTGTTGCAGGAAGAGAGAGAGAGTGAAAGCAGTCGGGTGTTATGCTCTAAGTGCAATGTGAGTCATAATTGCCACTGAATTTGTATTCCTGAATAAGAAGTTCATTTGGCAATAAGGCATAAGGGACTTGGGAGCATGACAGAGCCTTCTTAAGCACCCTTCCCGTTCTCTCAGGGGGAGAAAGAACTGAGGAAATAAAATCTCATCTCTAAGAAATAATAATTCCTTCTTGTTAAGGATTTCATAATTCTGTAACTATAACCAGTGGTGACTGTAGGCATGCCAAACCTTTTAGTGTATGGAGGGAGAGACCAATAGAGAGTTCCTAACAGAAATACATCTTTATACGTTCAAGGACAAGCTGGTGAGTTTCAAGCTAATGCAGTTTATTTAATTTCATCAATTATTTGTCGTCTTGTGATTTCATTTGGGTCATAGAGATTGTTAGCTTTGTATTGGCCTTTGCAGCACATTGTTTATAACTATGTCTGTGAACGTATTAATTATTGTTGTGATAATAATGTGCATAAAGATTACTTTGGGACTTCTTAAAGAGGAGGCAGGTGGAGCAGGGAGATCAGAGCTGCTGCCAGAGAAAGGAAGAACGAACGAATCCAACTAAAACTGCAAGGGGAAGCCAGTTAGACGGAATGTAAATTTGCATGATGGAATTTGGCAAAGACACTAATGGTAATACTGTTTCTCCTGTGAGAAGTTACAGAAGGCTCTTTTTCTATTATAAAATAATGATTTGGATTCTTTTGCACATTTTGTCTGAAGATTTGTGCCTCTCTGCACCCTTTCTCCATGGCACAATACTTTATATGTTGTTTGATTTAGTATCAGCTCTGAAGGAAGACTGCCATTTCATGACTAACCAGCAGTACTGTTCTCTTTTAACATCTGGGGTAGATTTGCACTAAGGAGGTTAAACCAGATCATTTTCCTTAAATCTTGGACAAGTTTGCAGACTATGATGGAGTATCTACAGGATGCACATTTTTACTTTTCTGCCACCCCTGGAGAAAAGCAGCAGAGAGAACACAAAAAGGCAGATGACTTAATCTTTTGCACATTTTGTCTGAAGATTTGTGCCTCTCTGCACCCTTTCTCCATGGCACAATACTTTATATGTTGTTTGATTTAGTATCAGCTCTGAAGGAAGACTGCCATTTCATGACTAACCAGCAGTACCGTTCTCTTTTAACATCTGGGGTAGATTTGCACTAAGGAGGTTAAACCAGATCATTTTCCTTAAATCTTGGACAAGTTTGCAGACTATGATGGAGTATCTACAGGATGCACATTTTTACTTTTCTGCCACCCCTGGAGAAAAGCAGCAGAGAGAACACAAAAAGGCAGATGACTTAAATTTGAAATGAAAAAACCCCACAAACAACTCCTTCCCCAAAAGAAATACACAAATAAATAAAAGAAACAAGATGCTGATGTGGAAAGCTACTGAAGTATTTAATAATGACTGGGTAAAAGAACACATGAGCCAAGAGAACTCTGTATGTTGGAGATGGGAAAGCACAAAAAGAGTGTCTGACCAAAATTCACTGGGCTGCGTGTAATAAAGACCAACAAAATTCATTATTTCATACATTAAAAGACCATAAGGGGGAAGGTGAGCATGGTATAATATGACAGAATGTAGATTAAGGAGACTCTAGATATGGATATGGTCCAGCTTCTAAGGAAATACTTTGCCTATTTTTGGATGAGGTTAGAGTAATATAAAATTAAAGGTGATAGAATAGTGGTGTTCAGGAGACCTGTCATCTCTATTCCAGTAGTACTGAAAGAAGTCATTAGAGAGTCAAGGACTATAATCTCTGACTGGAAAAAAGCAAAATAAGGGACTTGAGGGGGAAGGAGAGGGGGGAAAACAAGAAGCGACTCTTTTAACTGTTTCTTTCCACACCTCAGCAGCCTTGTCAACAGTTCTTGTAGGAAAAGTGCCCTAAAACATGTACACGCTTTTTCAGGGTCCTATCAGAGAGGCTGTGCAGCTGATGAACCGTTTATAAAACAGAAAGTAGTTTTGTCTTTAACTGCTGAAGGCACAATTTCATCTTCCCCTCATTCCACATAATGAGGCCTGGAACCGAACAATCCCTCCCCCTCCCACCCCTCCCCTCCTTCAGCCCTGACCAAAACGGGCCTTAAAGCCGGGGGGGGTCAAGGAGGACGGCGGTGGCTCCCCATCGAGCTCCTCCTTGCCCGCCATTTTCCTACTGAGGTGTTTCCCCTTTCCCGCCTTCCGGCTCAGCCTGATGGCGTCACTTCCGGCGGCGGGAAGGCGGTGCCCCCCCCTCCCAACGGTCGCCCGGCTCTGAGGCGATCGAGCGGCCGCGGGGCCGGTGTTCCCCCCCCACACACCCCGGGGGCTCGGTTGAGGCCGCCCTGTCCCCCCGAGAGCGCGTCGTGGCAGCCGGGGGTGAGCCTCTTCCGTAAAGGCTTGGGGAAGGGCGGCTTTTTGTGAAGGGGGCGGCCTAGGCCGAGATCGGA